AAACACAGATGTAAACATACAATCAAACACACAATCAAAGATGCAAAGCACGCGCGCTCGCACACACACACACACACACACACACACACACACGCGCGCGCGAATTGTCTCAGCACGGACATACAAAGCCATGCTATTCTCGCTCACAAGACGTTTATTGGTTGTGAAACAAGAGAAATTCAGACAGGTCCAAGAATTTAAATACCTCGGAAGTATATTCACAGAGGCTGGGCGACTGAACAGAGAAATTGAAAAACGAGTACAAAAGGCCAATAATGTTAGTTACCAGCTTACTCCACTACTGAAACATCCCAACATCCCCATGACAACAAAACTCATAATGATCAACATCATATTCATCCCATCACTCTCCTACCAATACCAAACATGGACCAAGAACAAGACAGTAGAGCAAGGAGTAGAAGTAGAAAAGCAGCAGAACGAGTCAGGAACCCAAAGGAGGGAGGCCGGGGAGGGGGGGGGGTGGAAGAAAATGGAAACGAAAGCAGACGACAGAATATGTTAATGAGCAGGAAAGGAGATGGAAACAAAATTCATGAGAGAAAAAAATGTTCCGTCCCCGTTCAGGTTTCGAACCCGGAAACAATATGTTTGTTTTAGTAAGGTTTTACGGCGCTACCAACTGCATAAGGTCATACGAGCGCCAAGGGGTGGATGTCAACAGAGAAGTCCAAACGGGGAGTCAGGCTTACTCTGCTCACCTCTCTAGCCTCAACAGCACAAAGTATGCTCCGACTATCAAGACACCCTGGAAATAGCAGTTTACAGAAGAGGGACTAACGTACAAAAGAAGTAGAGGAGAAATGACGATAGTAAGGATGGGGAAAGAAAAAGCAGCAGTTCCCATTATGTTGTTCCCGCACAGTATGAGCATGACCTTAATAAAGCAGCCCATTTACTATTCTACTGTGCATAAAAAATGTTATTACCCCCCCCCCCCCCCCCTTTGGGAATGGCGTAAAGACACTTCAGTCAGTAGCACTGCCCGGAAGGGGGGGGGAGGGGGACTATTAAAATAGGGGCGAACACTATACTTCTAGGCCCCGAAAATCCCCGGATGGAAAATGATGATGTAAAGGCAGAATTGGTCACTTTTAAGCGCAAGGGGGCTTTCCCCAAAAATGATGTTTTGAGAAAATCGAAGGTAAAGTTTTTGCCCCTTGTTCAATTTCATTTAAAGACAAAGAGAGTTTTCTCTATAACCAAACAAATATAAACACCAAATAAACCAAACTTCTCCTATCGGTAGGGTAATGCCCACTTTTAGTGTAGGTCAAGATTACTAGAAACCTCTTAAATCTGGGTTAGCCCGCTTGTCCTTAAAAGAGACAAATTGTGACAACTTCTACTCACCCAAGTACTCACTGCCTCTTTCGCTCTGGATGTCTCTGGAAGACCGGGACCAGAAATGTCCACCCCATCCTCTGACCACAGCTTTTATTCCCTCCAAGTCGTCAATTCTAATCACCAGGACTAATTTGCTCATCAATAAAGCAACGCGTTGTTTCTCAGGTCAGAGCTTCCGCGGTGTGAGCCGGATGTACTGATGACACGTACGTAGATG